CCCTTCATCATTATGAAATGCAGCAACAAAAGAGACTTTCCGAAAAACTATCTGTTCATCTGGCACAGAACAGAGTGGCAGGAAAAGGTTATCCCACCAAACAGGGAAGAATTCCAAGGCCCATCTGGCCTTTCTGCCTGTTCACTGTAAAAATGTTTAGCTGGCATAGGTGTTCCAAGGTCCAGATAAAGCAAGCAAATATAACAAGCAACTCTAATCGTCAGTAAAAAATCAGACATAGATGGAGACATGCATGGAAGAGTGGCCTGAGTGTATAATCAGTTTCTTAGTATTTTTACCTGACCCTACTCATAACTTACATCAGGATAATTTTCTTTTTTATTATGCTTATCGCATGCAGTACATTTGCATATTGCATGTAATCATGATAGACAAAAGAGCTGCTACAATTCAAGAAAGAATAGCAGCAGCAGTAAGAATCAGTGAAAGTCAGCTGGAAAAAAAGGGTTTTCAGAGAAAGCAGAAATCAGAAGAGAGAGAAAATTGCTATTCCTAAGTAAGAAGTCTGTACATTCAACCAAATCTAACCAAAACAATGGAAAGGTTGAAAGTATGCTTTGGCAACAGAGAGGGATAGTCCACTGGAGCCAAACAGCGTCAGTTCCTTTTTAAAGGCAGATTGAATTATGTAACAGACTACTACGAGCATGATATTTATAAGCCCTTGCTTTAATTCTCAAGAATGTTTAGGAGTTTAAAAACTTTCTTGATTCAACAAGGTGTTCTTGGATTCTACCTAATTGTAAGCATGTGAATAGTTTCATTGAGCACAATGGGAATACTCATGTGCTTGAAGTTAAGACGTGATTTAAATCCTTGCTGATTTGGGGCCAATGAATTTAATGGACTGTTTTAAAAAAACATTTTAATAGATACATATTATTAGCCACCTGGGGAGTGAAGGTAATAGAAACTATTCTCTTGCTAGCTTTAAAGCAGGAAATGCCCTCTCTTTTGAAGCTAGTTGTTTTATAACGCAAAACTTTTTGTGGTGGTATGAGAGATTATATGATCTAAACTTTTCCTCATTAATTTTGCTCATTTTGCTCTAAGCTTTTGCTCATTAAAGAGAACTTAAAGGTGTAATATCTTCTGATTCTTTCAGGGGTAAATTTGTGCTTGTGATGAAAGAGTTTGTAAGAAGGGCCTTATGTTTTCCAAGGTGAGGTATGCCAACAGAAAGCTGTTTGCCTTTTGTCATATGGGACTCATACAGTAGTATCTATTTCAGAGAATTTATTTCTTTTATTAATGATAAGTTACATCAATTCTATAAAGTAAACAGAGCTTGACAAATCTTCTGTGCATAATAGGACCAGAGAATTCTTGCTTTCTGCCATTTTTTCTGGTGATACGACTACATTAGCTATCCCTTATGGGCTTCTCCAGGTTTTCATGATAGGTTGAACAGCAGTATGAGCATTGCCTTCATTGTTTATCAGTGGAGACGATAGAAGTTGTTGGTACTCAGTCATAGAGCTTGCTGTAAATGTTGCTCAATGCCTCTTCTAGGAAAATAAGATATTGGCATGACTGAAAAATTTAGCAAAAAGTTCCAAAGCACTTTAGTGTTTTGCTGTGTTTTGCTAGTGTTTTGTTTCTTGCTGAAAAATTGAAGCAAGTTGATGTATATTGTCATTGGTTATAGAAAACTCAAATCTCGTGGTGATGGGAGAAATAATCTGTGGATCAGCATTATCTTATATTTTTCAGGACCTGAATATTTATTCAAGTGCAGAGTTGCAGATTTCAGTGCCTAACTTCAGCTATTAGAAGTTTAAGAGTTTTCACCAGTGCTTTCAAACACTCAAATGAGTCTATAGGGAATTTACTTCTCATAAGACTGTCTGAATGCAAAATGGGGTATTATGGCTCTCACAGGAGCATAGAAAAACATTATCCCCTATGGGTCTGTCACATTTTTAGAAAAAACCTCATTTGTAAGAGGCATGAATTGTTGACTGTGCATTTTTACATAGTTCATATTCTTTGTTATTCCTCATGGGCCAAAAAAATGCTTCTGAAACATACTGCCTAATTTAGACTCAGAGGCAATGCTGGTATGGAATGGAGGATTCCGTTCTCTTGTTAGAGAGGAAAAAGAAAGGCTTTGAACTAGGAGAGTCTAAAAGGAGAAGGGAAAAAAAAAAAAAAAGTCCTTACAACCATGTTATAAAAAAGATACCTGACAAACTTGAGAAGATGTAGAGAAAAGCCACAAAAAAATACTCCCACGTGGAGAACTGCAGCTATATCTAGTTGATGGAAGAGAATAGAAGGTTATGGGGTGATATAGTCATAATGTATAATCATCATTCCAAGAAGAAATGAGCAGGTGTTAAATATCTCTTTAATTTGGTAGGAAAAAAAGGAAAATAGATAACCAATGGCTGACAGTTAAACCTGATAAAAGATCAGGTATTTAGTTTGAACAATGAGCACAATAAACTTGACAGCATTAGCTAGAAATGGTCTTGCACACTGAAATTTCCTTTTCCCTTTGTTCTGCTAGAGTCTGGAATTGCTAAACATGCAGGCTAAACATTTTCTGATCAAAAAAAGAGTAGAGTCAGTGATTGGTTGATACTATGTAGATGGCTTATTAATTTTATTGGCAGAGTGGACAAGTCTTTTTATGCTATTTATTTGGGTAATCTGTTGTTTTACATAAAGTCAAGTCCTAGACACTCAGAAATCAGTAAGTGATTTTCTGTCAGAAAATTGTATTGTCCGTGTTCTTTCTCTGTTAAACCAAAAAACAGATACATACACTGATACTGTCGAGCAGTGGTCTCCAAAGTGGGATGTGTGCACCTCAAGGACTGTGCAAGATAGTCCATTGGAGTGCAGGAAGAAATGTTTTTTGTAAATAAACACTTTTAAAAGGAATTTTTTTATTATTTCATCCATCATCCTTCTTTAATATCTATTTGTGTGTGTGTTGCCTAATGTACATAATGTGTTAGTAGAGTAGTACATGTATACAATTTGTAAATAAATACATATACAAACATTGGGAGTGCATGCACAAAAATGTTTTAATGATAGGGATGCACCATCAAAAGATTTGGAGACCACTGCCTTACTGTAAAGCCACGCATCAGATCAACATGGTAATGCTAACCTTCAGAGCTGTTGCTGTGGCCATTTTCTGATGACATCCTTTCAAAGATTGTTCTCCCTCTTTTCACACTAGACTCCTTCAGAGAAATGACAGAGTGGCTCTCAGGCTGACTCTTCGATGTTGATGAAAGTGAACTTCTCTCACTTTCTGTTTCCTGTTAGAAGACATCAAGAGGATGTGTGTTAAAAGCTATTGGTAGGAAACAGATGTGGGGTTTTGGGGGACAAGACGTATGAAGAGGCAGCAGACTAGAAGGGTGTGCTGTTTTGGGGGAGATATTCTCCAGAATGCTATAGGGTAAATTTCTGTAGCACTGCAGGTTGCAAATTCATGTATGCTGCCCAGTTTGTTGTTCAACAGACAGTGATGCTTGGAAGTTTTCTTCTGCCATTTCTTGCATGTGGTTTCTTCCGCAAGAGGAGAGCAGTACTGGTGGTAAGGATCACAATAAAAGACACCAGTTGCTCATTTAAACATTATTTGCATATATAAAAGTTGACAGAAGGAGTTTTATTAATTTCATTTATTGGTATGTAAGAATATGTAAAAACAACAAATGATGGCTTGGAGACCAGATGTACACAGACATTTGTATTTCAGAAATTTGATTTTCAATTCTGCTGTGACCTATCAGCTGAATTTAGCTTATCACAATAGTGTGTCAAGGTTCCATACAGATAGTTTACACCGTATCATTAGTATCTCATCATCACACTGTGGCCTCAGACCTTTGAGGCAAAATGAGTAAATTGTTGCTAAGCAAGACTTTAATTTGTCGAAGCTGGTATTTTGGGGTGCTTCTCCTTCCTTCCATGCAATACGCTATTTGGTATGGAGTTGGACACAATAGCTGTAAAATCTCAACTACAGCTCTTATATTAAGTAAATAACCGAAACAGCCGGAGTGGCGAAAATATGTTTTTTTTTCCAAGGGACTAGCATGAAAAGTCCACTGTGTGTCCACTTCTGCTGTCCCTGTAAAAGAGGTGGTGATATCCAAAAAGAGAGTGGGTGGGTAGTTCGTCTGGTGACTGCATAAATCTCTCCAGCAAGATTCAGCAGAACTTATTTGCCAGAGTCCTTAACTGCTTAAATGTTTTCAAAATGTACTGCCTTCATTAGACTACTTCCTTTTTATTGTTTGCAGACAGCTTTATTATTATATACCATTTTAATGCTACCCTTATATATGATCTCACTGAAGTAACTCCTAACTGCTTTTAGGTTTAGATATTATGCATGGTGTGTAAGAAGAACTTTGACCCCTGAATTGATTATCCTAGATTGGAGAGTATTTTCCAGTAACTATTTTAAAAAAAAGAAAAATAAAAAAAAATATTTTTTAATGCGATACAACTTAATGAATCCTCAAATAGAACTGTTACCAAAAAAAAATGTAAAATAAATTGTAAAAGACATTTTCACAGTGACATATAATCAACTAATACATTCACCTTGAATTTTATGAAACTAACAGTGAACAAGCATAGGAAATATACTTTTAAAATGAGTGCATCATTAGCAATCAAGGACAATTGTGCTTCACCCATCTTTAATAAATTTACACTCTTCTCATAGCTGCTGAGAGCTTTTATCTTAAACATGTGTTGTACTTCATTTCTTGACCTGTAGTTATTCTTTGCAAGAATATTCCTTCCAGTACATGTACAATAGGTTATGTCTTGTGGAAACTCATAATTTTATAACAATCTGTCTACTTCTGTGTGTTATGGTAGCTTTTGCTTGAAATTAGCTGAAAAATTTTTGTGTGATATATCAGCATTGAAACAAATGACTGATTAGACCATAGAGGCTGAAGATGTTTTATTACCATGAGTGTTGTAACCCCTTCTTTCAGAAAAAATGCCTGTGGTGCCAGCGATCATCAGTTATCTTATAACATCAG